CGTTTGAGTTGCCCGTCTCTTTTGTCCCTGTACAAAGAGCTCCCACCTTCTTTCTGCCTTCTTTGGAAACAGCTTTTTCCCCCCCCCTCCTCTCTCCCCACTTCTTTCTGCCCCTCCTCCCCTTTTTTTATCCACCCTGGATAAAAAAAAAAGCGAAAGAAAATGCAAAATAGGAACCTTGGCTGTGTCTGTGACATAGTCCAACATCTCCTCGGGGCTGAGGCCCTCGGGGTATTGCATCCGGACGTTCTCCGGGGTGTCGTACATGCTCTGGTAGTATCTGAAAAGAAGAAGGAGGAAGCAAATGGAGGTTGGGGAGGGACAGGAAAAAAAAACACAGGGCAGGGAATTCAATTCCGAGTGTGCCTCAAGCAAACAGTGGGAGCAGCCTCCCGGGAGCAGAGATCCAGCCCTGCCAAAGCGCTGCCCTGCCACACGCTCCTTAAACCATTTAATGAGGCTTTATAATTAACTTGGCCCCTTCCACAGCTTCTCCCATCTGAGGATCTCCCAGCAATTTCCAGGCTGTGATTAGCTTTCAGGTGGGCCACAGCCCAATCTATTTAAACGGGGCAGAGAAACTGAGGCAAGGACAACCCCTGGAGAAGGTCCCCCCCCCGGGAGAAGGGCTTTTGATGAAAGTCGTGCCAGTGGATTTTATTAAGGCCTTACCTCGGGGGGGGGGAGGAATTCCAAGCCAACTCCAGGAGAGATTTACACCCAGGCATCTGCAGCACAAGCAGCTGAACTGGGAATTGGGCAGTCTACGCTCCTGACATTCCCAGTCAAACTGGGACTGATGGCTTAGTGGTGGTTTTTTTATGGTTTAGTGGTGGTTTTTGATGGTTTAGTGGTGGTTTTTGATGGTTTAGTGGTGGTTTTTTATCAGAGTTAGGTTTGTGGTTGGACTGGGTGATCTTAAAGGTCCCTTCCAACCCGGACAACTCTACGATTCTATGATCTAAAGAGGGGTCTCACAGCAGAGGGCTGGGCTTTCTTCCACCCCAGCTCTTCTCATCCCTTTAGAGCAGTAAAGGCAAAAGGGAAGCTGCTTCCCCTGGCTCACCACATCCTCAGAAACAGCAGGGAAGGATAGAAAAGGAAGGGAAAGAACCAATTTGAAGAGTTTAGGGAAGAGGGCAGAGGTGTATGTCTGTCCTCTACCCCACGTCTCCCCTCCCAAAGCTGAAGAGGAGCAGGGGATCCCCAAAGACCACGCTGAGGTAGGGTCATGTGGGGTGAATGAAAGTGCCCTTTCCAATGCCTGGGGCTTTCTGCCATCACAAACCGAAAGCCATATTAAAAAGTTAAAAAAAAAAAAAAAAAAGGAAAAAAAAAAAAAGGCAGCCAGCTTCTGGAAGAACAGATGAGGCTTAGGCACGCTCAGTTGCCATTTGCTCACCTCTGGCTTCCAGCCAGCTGTGGGGGAACATTTTCTGTACAAAACTGGATTTCTTTCGGTTGTCAGAATAATTATGTTGCGCTTGTTCGATGACATGGCACATGTTTGCTCCTCTGCTCCCCCCGGGGCACAGCTCTACATGTAATGGCAGGCAGCACCCCCCCTGCCAGGGGCCTTGGGGGAGCTCAGGTGCCCTCTGCCGGCTCCGCTGCCGTTGGCCACGGGCCACCTTCTGCCCACGGGCCACCTTCTGCCCACGGGCCACCTTCTGCCCACGGGCCACCCTCCTTCTGCCCACGGGCCACCCATTGCCCCCTCAACCCGGAGAAGTAGGGAGGTGATTGTGCCCCTGGACTCAGCACTGGGGAGGCCACACCTCGAGTGTTGTGTCCAGTTTTGGGCACCTCAATCCAAGAGAGATCTAGAGGAGGGGACGACTTTGGGAGAGGAGGGGACGATCTTTGAAGAGGAGGGGACGATCTTTGAAGAGGAGGGGACGATCTTTGAAGAGGAGGGGACGATCTTTGAAGAGGAGGGGACGATCTTTGAAGAGGAGGGGAGATGGTTGGACTCAATGATCCCAAGGGTCTCTTCCAACCTCAATGATTCTATGATTGATTCTATGACTCACTTGGGCTACACTAACCCCCTGCAGCGCTCCAGGCTGGGGAAAATGTGGCTGGAAAGCTCTGGAAGAAAGAGACCTGGGGGTTCTAGGTGACAAATGGCTGAATATGAGCCAACAGTGTGCCCAGGGGGGCAAGAAAGCCAATGGCATCCTGGCTTGTATCAAAAATAGTGTGACCAGCAGAAGTAGGGAGGTGATTGTGCCCCTGTACTCAGCACTGAGGAGGCCACACCTCGAGTGTTGTGTCCAGTTTTAGAGTGGTCGGGCATTGGAACAGGCTGCCCAGGGAGGGGGTGGAGTCCCCATCCCTGGCTGTGTTTAAGGGCCGTTTAGATGCAGTGCTGAGGGACATGGTGTAGGGGAGGACTTTGTAGAGTAGGGGAGATGGTTGGACTCCATGATCCCAAGGGTCTCTTCCAACCTCAATGATTCTAAGTACCTGTTTTGGAAGGCAGTTCTGTGGTCAGTCAGGACCACTCCAGGGATGTGCCGAGCCCGAAGGAAGCGCTGGAAGGAAGATGGGGGAAGAGGCTGTGAATATCCAACTTCCTGCAGAGTCACATTTGCTCCCACGCTGCTGTTACTCAGGATATCCAGCAAGTTTCTAACCTGAAAAGAGAAGAAATGACACTGTTTTAGAATCATAGAGTGGTCAGAGTTGGAAGATCATCGAGCTCCAAGCCCTCCACCCCGGGCAGGGACACCTCCCACCAGCCCAGGTTGCTCCAAGCCCCCTCCAACCTGCCCTTGAACCCCTCCAGGGATGGGGCAGCCAGAGGTTCTCTGGGCAACCTGGGCCAGGCTCTCACCACCCTCCAAATAAACAAGTTCTTCCCAAAATCTAACCTCAATCTCTTCTTTTTGAGCTTCCCCCTCGTCCCATCGCTCCCCTCCCTCATCCAGAGTCCCCCCCAGCTTTCCTGGAGCCCCTTGAGGGACTGGAAGGGGCTCCAAGGTCTCCCCGGAGCCTTCTCTTCTCCAGGCTGAACCCCCCCAACTCTCTCAGCCCCCCCTCCCAGCAGAGGGGCTCCAGCCCTCCCAGCATCTCCGGGGCCTCCTCTGGCCCCTCACAGTAAGGAATTTCTTTCTAGTATCTAATCTAAATCCCCCCCTCTTTCAATTTAAAACTATTACTCCTTGTCCTATCGCTACATTCCCTGATGTGAGTCCCTCCCCATCCCTCCTGTAGCCCCCTTCAGGTACTGGAAACCTGCTGTAAGGTCTCCAGGGAGACCTTGCATTTTTTTGCTATTCTTTTACACGATTAATTTCTCTGGAAAGGTTAACATCCTGATCATCTGCAGCACGCTAAAGACCCCACACAATTTGGGATAGATGAGTGACTACAGATTGCTTGGTTACCCGAGCTTCAACAGATGTATTCATCCGAGAGACGGGGTCCGTGTGCATCCAGAGAACGGAGTCATTCCTCAGAGCCACCTGCAAGAAAAACCACAAAACCTCCTAAATACAAAACATAGAATCATGGAACGATCAGAGTTGGCAAGGACATTAAAGATCATCGAGTTCCAACCCCCCTGCCCTGGGCAGGGACACCTCCCACCAGCCCAGGTTGCTCCAAGCCCCCTCCAACCTGCCCTTGAACCCCTCCAGGGATGGGGCAGCCACAGCTTCTCTGGCCAACCTGGCCCAGGCTCTCACCACCCTCACACCAAAGAACTTCTGCCCCACATCTCAGCTCCATCTCCTCAGTTTTGGTTTAAAACTCTTCCTCGTTGTCCCATGGCTCCACTCCCCAAAACACCATCCCTGGAGGGATCGAAAAGCCGGGGCTGAGGGACACGGGGCAGTGGTGGGTTGGGCAGTGGTGGGTTGATGGTTGGTCTTGATGAACTTGGGGGTCCCCTCCAACCCAGGGAAGTGGTGGAATCACCAGAGCATCACAGAACGTTTGGGGTTGGAAGGGGCCTTCAAGACCATCCAGTTCCATCCCTTCTAGTGGAAGGGACATCTTCAATGAGACCAGGTTGCCCAAAGCCCCCTCCAACCTGCCCTTGAACCCCTCCAGGGATGAGGCAGCCACAGCTTCTCTGGCCATCCTGGGCCAGGCTCTCACCACCCTCACACCAAAGAAGTTCTCCCTCACATCTCAGCTCCATCTCCCCTCTAAAACATACATGAGTACGTGAGTCTTGAAGAGCAGGGAAGTCCAGTCCAGGGAATAATCACAAACCAGTCAAAGGCCAGCTGGGAAAAAACCACAGCTAAAGAGGGAATTAAAAAAGGTCCCCTAAACTTATCCCACACCTGATTCAACTCCACAAATGAATAAATGTTGTCCAAACGGAGAGGAAACTTGTCTTTTTCCATGTCGTAGACCATGCGCGAGCTGCCGATGTAATCAAAGGTCTCCTGCAAGAGGGAAAAAAAATACAAATCATATGAATCACATCAGATACAGATACATCACATACGTATCTGTCTGCTACAACAAACAGCAATATTTGAGAGGCTGAGGTGAACCAAACCCAAGAGTTTGAGGGCCACCAAACATTTCTGAAGGTGCCTGGCACGCACCAAAAGGCCAAAGTAAATATTACGTTGTGCCTGGCTCCAAAGACAAAGGTACTGGAGGACGGAGCAAGGGACAAAAAGGAAGGCAAAGAGCTGAAAAAAAGGGGAGAGTTAATGAATTCCACAAGGAAGGAAGGCAGAGAGGCAAAGTGAGACTTCAGGGAGCTTGTCAAGAAGCTGAACGGGGCCTGGGGAAGAATAGGTGCCTCCAAGAAGAGAATCCCCACGACAAAGAAGGGCAACGAAGCCACCAGACTTTCCCCCTCCCTTTGACTAATTTACAGCCAAGTCTTCTCATTCCTCCTCCATCCTGGGAGCACGACAGAGAATGTCCCCTCCAGAGGAAATGTGCCCTCCCCCCCTCCCCCGAGGAAATTCTGTTAATTCTGCCGAGGAGGGTGAATGAAGGGAATCACACACAAACATTTCTGAAGGTGCCTGGCACGCACCAAAAGGCCAAAGTAAATATTACGTTGTGCCTGGCTCCAAAGACAAGGGTACTGGAGGACGGAGCAAGGGACAAAAAGGAAGGCAAAGAGCTGAAAAAAAGGGGAGAGTTATTGAATTCCACGAGGAAGGAAGGCAGAGAGGCAAAGTGAGACTTCAGGGAGCTTGTCAAGAAGCTGAACGGGGCCTGGGGAAGAATAGGTGCCTCCAAGAAGAGAATCCCCACGACAAAGAAGGGCAACGAAGCCACCAGACTTTCCCCCTCCCTTTGACTAATTTACAGCCAAGTCTTCTCATTCCTCCTCCATCCCGGGAGCACGACAGAGAATGTCCCCTCCAGAGGAAATGTGCCCCCCCCCCTCCCCCCCTGAGGAAATTCTGTTAATTCTGCCCAGGAAGGGTGAATGAAGGGAATCACACGGCCCCAGCACACGAGGCTGTGGGAGCCAGTTTCACAAAACCACACAAAAGAAGCCATGGATGGAGATGCCTTGAGGGGAACATCAGCTGTTGGCCATCAGTCCCTCCTCCACACGCTTGTTCTGCTTCTCCACAGCTGCCAACTCCAGCGCCGGGCTCTCAGAAACGAGCTACATTTCGCTGCTGTCAACACATATATTTTTAATCTAGCCTTTTTTTTTTTTTTTTTTTTTTTCTGGGCTTCATTTCAGAATTTAGAGCCTGGCCGGCGCATCCTCATCCCGATCTGGGGGGGTGAGACATACAGACAGACAGCCAGCCACGCTGGGAGGAGGGAGGCAGGAGGGAAAGCAAAGTTGGAGTCATTTATCCAGAATGAAACGTGGGGCAGAATATGGGCTGCCCCAGTGGAAGCTCCATCTGCTCTCGTTATCCCAGTGCAATTAAGAGCCCGTTCTCACTGGGGGGGGGGAGAGGAGAGAACCACAGATAAATGACTCGGCGCAAAGAGTGGGGGGGGAAAAATAAAAAAAAAGTTCATTTGGAGGGAGCCAAAGGCTGATTTGCCATCTCAGAACTAAGCCAAATGGTGGAGCGATGCTCTTACCCCTTGGAAGAAGGTGAACATGATATTCCTTTGCAGCAAATGAACATCTGAGGCTTTATGAAGGGCTTCGGCGGCGGCCAAGTGGGTGACAAAAGAGGTGACGGCGCTCTCCGCCCCAGGCGCGATGTTCCAGAAGAAGGAATGGCTGTCAATCTGGAAGCACCAAGGGGAGGAGGGAAAAAAAACATGCACACAGAGAGAGGAATATTGTATTGGGGAAGGAAATCCATCACCTCCCTTCCCAGCCCACTGATACGGGAGCGAGCAAAGCACCTGGGCTAATGAAATTTAAAATGCTAATCGCAATTTTTGTAGCAATGGTCTGGGAGCCCTGCCACCGCCCCCAAGACTTGACCTGAAAAGGAAAAAAATAATCAAGTGTACCGTGGTTTTAGTGCTGGCATCACTGCTCAGCACCAGGCTCTGAGGTGGTGACAAAGTGGGAATTCTGAGCTGGCATCTCTGGGGGGGGTTGTGTAAAGCGATTGGAAACCAAAAAACTGCCAGACAAGGGAAGGGAACTTCTCTCTCTGCTCTGACACTGCTCAACACACAACAAAATCACCACGTGATTCAGCCTCTGCCTCCCCAAAAACAGGGATGAGGCAACCCTGCTGCCTCCCTCTCTGCCACACGCTTCAAGGATGTGAAATATCTCAGGGAAGCAGAACACACACAATAACTACTTCTCCTTGTTTGGTTCCAGCAATGAAAACACCGAAAAGAGTCTCAAATAACAAGAAAGCAAACACAGAATCCTTATATTAAAACAACAGATAAACCCACCAACTACACTTTTAGAAACATAATAGTCGGATCTAAAAGGTTTGGAACATGGAAATAAGTGAAAATATGTAAGAGAAATATATTCCCATGAGACTCAAAAGCCCCCATCTCTCCAGAATCCTTCCAGCCCACGCTCTACAGAGGAAGATTAAGAGGTACCTACTCGTGTAGCAACGATAATAACTTCCTTCTCAGGATCCACTTTGCCGGAGGAATTGATGGGTTGCAAAGTGCTCCAGACGTTGTAATCCAGAAGAGGGTCACACACAACCTCTAGGAAGGAGAAACAACATTGCTTGAGGTGAGAGAAGAGCAGGGACACCTGAGAAATGAGCTCTGCCATCAGCTGTAGCTCATCAGAGGTTGGAGCAGGGGGGAAAACTTCTACTCAGTTGGGATTTTAATTCAGGTAACCCACAATCTAAGGGAGCAGTAATCCCAGAGCAGATTACAGAACTGATATTAGGCACCCACATAGCAAAAAATTAAGTACTTTTCTCAGCCAGCATCTCTTTTATCCATTATTTTCTAAACTGATAACGAACGTAGCCCCAAATTCCTTACAGCTTGAATAACTTATTTTGAAAAGGCTCAGTTGGCAAGCGAGCCTTTAAGGGAAACTCTAAAACTTTCTTCTTTTTGTCCAACTGTATGCCATTGGGATTTTTAGAATCACAGGCTGGTTCAGGTTGGAAGGGACCTTAAAAGTTCTTTGAGTTCCAACCCCTGTGCCCTGGGCAGGGAGACCTCCAAGCCCCCTCCAACCTGCCCTTGAACCCCTCCAGGGATGGGGCAGCCACAGCTTCTCGGGCCAACCTGGGCCAGGCTCTCACCACCCTCACACCAAAGAACTTCTTCCCCACATCTCAGCTCCATCTCCTCAGTTTTGGTTTAAAACTCTTCCTCGTTGTCCTATGGCTCCACTCCCCAAAACACCATCCCTGGAGGGATCGAAAAGCCGGTGCTGAGGGACACGGGGCAGTGGTGGGTTGGGCAGTGGTGGGTTGATGGTTGGCCTTGATGACCTTGGAGGTCCCCTCCAACCCAGGGAAGTGGTGGAATCACCAGAGCATCACAGAACGTTTGGGGTTTGGAAGGGACCTTCAAGACCATCCAGTTCCATCCCTTCTAGTGGTGAGACCAGGTTGCTCCAAGCCCCCTCCAACCTGCCCTTGAACCTTCAGGGATGGGGCAGCCACAGCTTCTCGGGGCAACCTGGGCCAGGCTCTCACCACCCTCACACCAAAGAACTTCTGCCCCACAGCTCAGCTCAATCATAGAGTCATAGAACCATCTAGGTTGGAAGGGACCTTCAAGATCATCCAGTTCCATCCCTTCTAGTGAAAGGGACATCTTCAAGGAGACCAGGTTGCTCCAAGCCCCCTCCAACCTGCCCTTGAACCCCTCCAGGGATGGGGCAGCCACAGCTTCTCGGGGCAACCTGCGCCAGGCTCTCACCACCCTCACACCAAAGAACTTTTTCCCAAAATCTGACCTGGATCTCTCCTTTTTGAGCTTAAAACTCTCCCCCCTCGTCCCATCACTCCCCTCCCTCATCAAGAGTCCCCCCCCATCTTTCCTGGAGCCCCTTGAGGGACTGGAAGGGGCTCCAAGGTCTCCCCCAACTCTCTTCCTGCAATGGCCGACGTCCAAAGAGGACCCTGCCTGTTCATCTGCCTTTGATCCCCATGTGTTCCTGACTCCAGAGCTGGAATCCTGCTCCTGTCCATCACCGAGTCCAGTCTGGGACTTCCCCAGTGCCTGGTGGTGACGGGACTGTCATCCTGGGAGCTTGATATGGTTTTGTGTATGTGCTGTATCTATTTCATTATTTTCTTCTCTTTTAATATTATTTTTGATTAAAGTAGTTTAGTTAATTCTAAACTTTTCAATCTCCTTATCTCTTCCTCTCTTCTTTCGGGGGGGTGGGGGGGGAAGGGCCATCTGTTGGTTCGGTTGCGGTGATTTCGGCTGAAACCACGACATTTCTTTACCACCAGCCTTATCCCCCATCGTGAGAAGGAAAAGAGGGATCTGCTCACCAGGGTTAATGCTGAAGGTGCTTTGGAGGGAGCTGCGCCTCATGCAGGTGACGGTGCTGGTGACGGCGTGCATGTGGGAGAACAGCTGCATGGCACAGAGGGGGTACTCGGGGACAGACCCCTCCCGAGGGACATTATGGTCTTGATAACACTGGAGGGAAATAAAAATCGTTACAAAATTTAGCCTTTTTCGTACCAGCACCAAACCATCCGCTTTTACCACAGATTTCAACATCGAAACTGGGAGAAAACAAAACTTCTGCCCCTTTTCCTGAACCCTTCCCGGCTCCTGCTCGTTAAGGAAGCGCGGTTACCTGCTTAATGACTTGAGTCTCGTTGGCATCTTCCAGAAGAAAAATAGGGAAGTCAAAATCCTCATAGGAAAGCCCGCTCCCCACAGGGTTCCACACGGTCTTATTGCAGTGTGCGAACTGAGGGCCGTAATCTTTGGAATAAACACCTGGAAACAGGAAAAAACATTAAAAAATGGGCAAATCTGAGCCTGCAAGAGAATAAAGAGTCTGCGGGAGAGGCAGGGCCTGCTGAGAAAATAGCAGCAAATAGAGAATGAGCCCCATTATGGGCTGAGGAAGCAGCTGACAGGAGCTGGGAGAGATGGAGAGGGTCACTGCATGGGGTGGAGAGGCAGAGACAGAGCGTGGTGTCACACAGAGAGAGAGTGGGACCCAGGGACGCTCGGGGCCGTGGCAGGGGGGGGCTGGCACCAGCCCTCAGCGAGCGTTTGTCACCCGCTGAGAGAGAGGAGGAAGCACAGGGAGAACCACGAGGCTTGGAAAAGGAGGAAACACACAAACCCGCCTTCTCTGAGCTCATCGTGTGCTGGAGGCAGCCCCGAGGCCCCATCATAGAATCATTGAGGTTGGAAGAGACCCTTGGGATCATCGAGTCCAACCATCTCCCCTACTCTACAAAGTCCTCCCCTACACCATGTCCCTCAGCACTGCATCTAAACGGCCCTTAAACACAGCCAGGGATGGGGACTCCACCCCCTCCCTGGGCAGCCTGTTCCAACGCCCGACCACTCTTTGGGTGAAAAATTCCTTCCTCATGTTCAATCTAAACCTCCCCTGTTGGAGCTTGAAGCCGTTCCCTCTCGTTCTGTCACTAATGACCTGTGAGAAGAGACCAGCACCAACCTCTCTACAGTGTCCTTTCACGGAGTTGTAGAGAGTGATGAGGTCTCCCCTCAGCCTCCTCTTCCTCACACTAAACAGCCCCAGCTCCTTCAGCCGCTCATGGGACAAGAAGAAACAGCCTCAGGTTGCACCAGGGGAGGTTCAGATTGGATATTGGGAACAATTTCTACATGGAAAGGGTTATGAAGCCTTGGAATGGGCTGCCCAGGGAAGTGGTTGAGGGACCATCCCTGGAGGGATTTAAAAGCCAGGTTGAGATAGTGCTTAGAGCCATGGTTTAGTGATGGGTTTTATCAGAATTAGGTTGGTGGTTGGACTAGATGATCTTAAAGGTCCTTTCCAACCCAGACAACTCTACGACTCTATGATCTAAAGAGGGGTCCCACAGCAGAGGGCTGGGCTTTCTTCCACCCCAGCTCTTCTCATCCCTTTAGAGCAGTAAAGGCCAAAGGGAAGCTCCTTCCCCTTGACTGCTCCATTCTCAGAAACAGCAGGGAAGCGAAAAATACCGAAATGACAACCTGCCTGAAACCCCCGGGGGAATTCGGGGAGGCAGAATGGGGTTTTAAAACGTAGGGACTGGCCCCAAGAGGGAGTTGAACACAAACTGCACTCAATCTGTGCAACACAAGAGGCTTTAAGGATCACACGTGGCCAAAGCAGAAGTTTCACATGTGAGAGAAAAAGAAGTTACAACCACCCTTGGTCGGGTTTAACACTTTAAGTGATTTAATGCTGTTTTAGCCAATTTATCTGAGGGCCCTGGAATAGCAAGGCAGTATTTTACCAAAGGCTTTAGGGAAGAAGAGCTCATGGGATTAGAGGAAGCAATTTGAAGAGGAACCATGTTGAGAAACGATGAGATTCGAGCTCAGATGAGAGAAAAAGAAGTTACAACCACCCTTGGTCGGGTTTAACACTTTAAGTGATTTAATGCTGTTTTAGCCAATTTATCTGAGGGCCCTGGAATAGCAAGGCAGTATTTTACCAAAGGCTTTAGGGAAGAAGAGCTCATGGGATTAGAGGAAGCAATTTGAAGAGGTACCACGTTGAGAAACGATGAGATTCGAGCTCAGATCAACTCCCTGGAAAGAATATTTTGAGAACGTTTAAGAACATTATCTTAAACACCATTTTGACATTAAAGTGTAGCTGCAATTTCAGCAGCCCTTGGCATTTCTTGCTCGGACTGGGCAACGTAAAGGCACCGTTTCTTTTCCTCCACCATCCACCAAGGATCAAGAGAGAACATTTCCTTACCAAAGCCATCGTTGGGGCACTTCAAACCAGGAGAGAATCCCTGGGGGGGACTGGGTTTGGCAACAGCCACCGCGAGGCCTGACACTCGGGAGGTTCCCTTCAGCTGCAGCATCACCTTCCTGCAAAAGGGAAAACACCAGTGAAATGTTTGAACTGTTGGTGGACTGGTCAGTGGATGAGGAACTGGCTGGATGGTGGCATCCAGAGGGTAGTACTCAATGGCTCAAAGTCCAGATGGAGACCAGTCCCAAGTGGTGTTCCTCAAGGGGCCGTGCTGGGGCCAACACTGTTTAACATTTTTATCAATGATATAGACAGGGAGATTAAAGGCACCATCAGCAAGTTTGCGGACGATCCCAAGCTGTGTGGTGTTGTGGATACACCAGAGGGATGGGATGTCATCCAAAAGGACCTGGCCAGGCTGGAGAGGTGGGCCCAGGTGAACCTCATGAGGTTCAACAAGAGCAAATGCAAGGTTCTGCACCTGGGCCGGAACAATCCTCGCCACCAATACAAACTGGGGGGTGAGGGATTGGAAAGCAGCCCTGAGGAAAGGGACTTGGGGGTGCTGGTGGAGGAGAAGCTGGACATGAGCAGGCAGTGGGACCTTGCAGCCCAGAAGGTCAATCCCATCCTGGGCTGCATCAAAAGCTGCGTTGCCAGCAGGTCCAGAGAGGGGATTCTGCCACTTTACTCTGCTCTGGTGAGACCTCACCTGGAGTGTTGTGTGCAGGGCTGGAGCCCTCAATAGAAGAAGGACATGGACCTGCTGGAGAGGGTCCAGAGGAGGGCCACGAGGATGATCAGGGGGATGGAGCACCTCTGCTCCGAGGACAGGCTGAGGGAGCTGGGGTTGTTCAGCCTGGAGAAGAGGAGGCTCCGGGGAGACCTAATAGCCCCTTCCAGTACCTGAGGGGGGGCTACAGGAAGGCTGGGGAGAGCCTGTTTAGAAAGGCCTGCAGTGACAGGACGAGGGGCAATGGCTTCAAGCTGGAGGGGAACAGATTTAGACTGGAGATGAGGAGAGGGTTCTTCACTGGGAGGGTGGTGGAGCACTGGGACAGGTTGCCCAGGGAGGTGGTTGAGGCCCCTTCCCTGGAGATATTCAAGGTGAGGCTCGATGGGGCAACCTGGTCTAGTTGGGGGTGTCCCTGCTGACTGCGGGGGGGTGGGACTAGATGGCCTTTGGAGGTCCCTTCCGGCCTGGGCAATTCTAGGATTCTATGAATCCATTAACGAAGAGTTACAATCCCAGACATCACAGTCCAGCACGTGATGCTGCTTTTCATCTAAATAACCAGCACGTCCCTTTTTCTTCTCCAAACTGTAAGATCACAGCAACAAGGAGAAAACTTCAGCCAATTTCTTTCCTGCTCTGCCCAGGGTAAGACGTGACCAATCTTAATCACGTTGCTTAATGAACTTTAGTAGCTGCTGCAGTGATGAAGGTGGCATGAGGATCTCTCTAACAGCAAACCAGGCCATTTAAGAAGAAATAAAATCAAGCACTAAAACACAGTAAACCCACAAATGTTTCAATCTTGCCATACTTTAATTCAATTTGGGCCGATTCCGCCATCTGTCACTTGAAAAATGACATTTCCAGCACCAGATTAGGGACTCCTATTGGTCTCCTGGGCTTCAACTGACCTGTTGAAGAGGCTCCCATCCAGCAGAATCATGTAGGGTGGGTGGGGGCCGTCTGTAAGCACCCAGTTCAGGTCCTCCTCTTTCTCCACCACATGGATGACCCCCGTGTCTCCGCTGATGGAGGCTGAGGAAAGAGAATTTGCCATTTACATTTCAGTTTCACTTCATTCATGCCCCGGAAAAACAGTATTTTACCAAGGAATTTAGGAAAGAAGAGCTCATGGGATGAGAGGAAGGAATCTGAAGAGGCCCCGTTTAGCTACAACAGGGCAGAAAAATGGAAGAGTGGCTTTTAGAGGGGAAAGAAAAAAGCTGAACAGGCTTTGAAAGCATCTTTTGTTTAAACACTTCAAAGCACTGAAGGACCTTAAGCTCACTAAGCACTATGAACCACAGAATGATATGGGGTTGGAAAGGGACCTCTGGAGATCATCTAGTCCAACGCCCTGACAGAGCAAGGTCACCCAGAGCAGGTCCCACAGGAATGTGTCCAGGTGGGGTCTGGGATGTCTCCAGAGACAGAGACTCCACCACTTCTCTGGGCAGCCTCTGCCAGGGCTCTGCCACCCTCACAGGAAAGAAGTTCCTCCTCATCTTGAGATGGAACTTCTCACATTCCAGTTTGTGCCCATTTCCTCTTGTCCTGTCCCTGGGCACCACTGAAAACAGACTGGCCCCATCCTCCTGACACCCACCCTTGAAGTATTTGGAGGCGTTGATCAGATCCCCCCTCAGTCTTCTCTTCTCCAGACTCAAAAGCCCCAAGTCCCTCAGCCTTTCCTCCCAAGAGAGATGCTCCAGGCCCCTCAGCATCCTCATAGCCCTTTGCTGGACCCTCTACACCGGTCCCCTGTCCTTCTGGAACTGGGGAGCCCACAACTGGACCCAGTGCTCCAGATGGGGCCTTTTCATGAGTCCCCTGTGACTGGAGGGAATCAGGAAGGAGAGGAGGCAACAGGCCCTGAGAGAGAACGGCACTTGGAGGAGAAAGGCTCTGCCTCAAGGACCACAGTTGCAAAAACACTTTAGTGCTTTAGGAGTAAATATTGTAAATTCAAGAAGTGAGAGCTCAGAGAGAGCTCAGCACGAGGCCTGCAAGAACACGAGGGGCAAAAGATTGTGACAGCAAAGGGCAGTAGCACCAAAGCAGGTCCATGGCTTGTCCTTGTCACCCAAAAGAAAATGAAGCATAGAATCATAGAATTGCCCAGGCCAGAAGGGACCTCCAAGGGTCATCTAGTCCCACCCCCCCGCGGTCAGCAGGGACACCCCCAACTAGACCAGGTTGCCCCATCGAG